TAAATGAGCTATCCTAAAATAAAAATATAAAACCATTTTTCTTACCTCCTAATTTTCATTTACTTGAATAGTGTCTTGACAAAACATTTGGAATCAAAAAGTAAAGGCTTAAGCTTATTTAAACTCAACAGTTGTGTCTCCACCTACTGGAAAACTGTATTTAACTGAAACAGTAATCTGATCCTTTGAGATTTGGGTAAGCAAGAGCTGCAAGAGCCATGTTTCTGTGCAAGATGCAAAGAATTTGACTTCCCCTTCCCTCAAACTCCATTAAGAAAATTTTTGCAGAAACCACTGATGTTCCCCATAATCAGCATGGATTTCACAAGGTTTATACTCTCAAACAGAGTAGAACAGAAAATTGGGCAATACTCTTAACATATCCAAGTAATTTCTTAAGTAACAGTTGTTGTCAGTAAATCTGAAATGTCATCTAATTTCAATGCTGCTAGTTTTCCTCCATGCTTTCAGGAGATATGGATATCAACATCAGAATAAATTGTTTAAATAACTGAAGTGTAAACCCCACAGAATGATTGCGTATTAAGAATACCTCATATTAGCAACACTTTTTTTTAAGCCAGAAACCTTGAAAATAATTAAACTTGAGGTTAGAGTAGAGAACCTTTCATTTACAATTTTTTTTTTAATTATTTAATACAGGTTATGAAATTGCTTAGCACCATTATAATTTTACAGACCAATTACACAAAGTAGGATTGTAGATGTTTTGATACGGAAAACCAGTTCTCCTAACCTCTCTTTTTCTCTTTTGTCTTCATTAATCTAGTAAGAATGGCATCAGCCATAACTAAGTAATTCAGGCTTGCTTTATTCTGAAAAAAAGCAATTTTTAAGCCACAGGATAGCTCATTGACATCACAATGCTTTGTATGTCCTGCTGCAAAAGACAACGTGTAGTATGACCTGAGATCCAACTGCAGATGGTTATTATGACCAAGTAATCAGACAGAATATCTTAGATCAGTTTTAAGCTCTGAAACGAGATCATCTACTAGATAATCTATCCTGTGAATAAAAAAATTGCTTTGGCACCTTCTTATGAATGAAGCCAAACCAGTATCTGTGACGAGCACATCTGTATTATTTCAGCCTGCCTCTCACATATCAGCCTGAACTAAACTCACTTTTCTCTAAGACCCTTTATGAGCTTCTTCTACTGTGGAGGACAGAAAAAGCACTATCCTTCTCACACGTGTTCTTACCCCTGCCATCACATTCTACTTCATATTTCCACACAAATAACTCCAATAGTGTCTGCACCACTCCAGTTGCAGTATGTTCCTAAAAAGTCAAGCTTTTTACCAAATGCAAGGCCAAACCGATTCCAGTTTGCCTCAGCACTGAATACACAGAAGAGTTACTGTGCACGTTCTACTGGTACACGAACTTACTTGGCTTGTTAAGAAGAGTTTCTTCCTACACCTCAACTCCTCTATTGGCTCTATTTTTTTCAAAAGAACAAATATGAACATCTCATTCAAGGCCAGCCCCCCCCCAAAAGACAGCGAGAAACAAAAAACAGCAAAAAAATCAAGCTCAGGTGTATGCAGTGTTGAGAACCCAATCTGTCCATCCTACAGTACTCCTTCTGCAGCAAATATTCTTTCCTCGTCTAGTAGTGTGGTCACTCAGTCAATTCCCTCAAACCAGGATGAGTCAATTTTCATCCATTTTTACCTTAACCACAGAACACAACAGGACATTTTATTTAAACTTGTGTGAGTTTTTTACGTTTCCAAATCTTAGGATAGTATCATTCATTCTACATCTGGATGGAGACTGCAACACCTAAAGTACTACCACAGCCATTATCGCAATCCCAAATGCATACCTGTTTCTTAAGTAAAAAGAGATTCTTCCCCCTTTACTACAGCATATGAAAAGATTTGCTCACCTGCAGATCCTGCATGGAGGATCAAAGGGCACTCACCAGAGCCCGGGACAGTCACATCACATCAGAACTTTAAATCACTTCTGACTATAGCAGAAAGTATGGTTTCAAAGCAGGATGCTAAAGTTTTATAGAACTGCATTCAAAATATAAGTAATTTCTACAAATAAATGCATGTAGAAAACCAGAATGATTCAGGGACTGAGTCACTGTACGAAGAGACTTGTGCTAAAGAATTTTCTGCTTGTCATTATGGTACTATAAAGTTTTCCCAGATAACTGACCTTTGTTTCTGCATGTACAAATACCCATCCCAAGGACCTAATATCAGGCTGGAGCTTGATTCTGACTGAAGCAGCAGAGTGTTTGGGGGCAATACCCAGAGCACATCCTTAGCAGCTCAGAATAAAGCCTGCCAAATTATTTGGTAATTATTTGGTTTTCCTGCTTTTACAGATTAAACTAAAAATGCCAAAAGTAGTAAACTACATTGCCTAGATTTATGTTCCTTCCTAACTTCCTGAGGTTTGCAGGCACAGCAATTCAGAAAAAAAAAAGATCAGATTAAAATTTTATGCCTCAAATGAAAAACATCCTAAGTCAGGGGTCTTCCAGACACTCATCCTCTCTATTAGCCTTCATTAAGACTCCTTCAGATTAGCCAGACGCGTTTTCATTACTTCCTTTCTTATTTAAAAAAAAACACTAAACATATGTGATTAAGCCATGATTTAAGTTAATAGCTTCCATTATTTGTTTAAAGAGAAGAAAAAAAAAAGCAATGAGAGGTAGTTCAAGAAAGGTCCAATTGCACATATGTTGCAACAGCTTTTCAATCATTTTAGAGACTTTTAGTATGCACAGTTAGCCTACTAATATAGCAGCAGAACAGACACCACTCCACATAGCTGGTACAGTATATTTGTCAATAATTTCCATATTAAGTAGTTCTTGACAGCAGTGATCCATAGCATCCAAAACACATGCAGGCACCCAGAATTCAAAGCAGCTGAATATACATACTTTTTGTGAGATGATGAAGGCTCCATAAAAAAACACCACAACAAAAAAAAAAAAACAAAACCCAAACTACGAAGAGAGTACTGAAGATGAGGAAATAAAAAAACCTAACAATGGTACCAGCATTATGACACCATGCCTCAGAACTGCAGATTTTTCACAGCAATATGGAACTCAGGTAATCTGCATACTGCAATACTTCAAGAACAAAATATGGAGAGCAAGATCTTCAATTCCAAACATTTCAAGGGAGGGAAAAGGAAATGAAAGATTGCTCTGAAGAGTCCTTTAAAAAATCACATCAAAACGAGCTCAAACAAGACTCCCATTATCAGTGTTTTATTTAAATGAGAATTTTCTCTATGGCATTTTCGAGAAGAATTTTGTGACAGATGTTGCATGGTCCAATCACATGTTGAAGTGTTAAAAGCCAACCACCTCAGCAGAAATAAAAGGAAACATCATGATGCTAGTGTCAACCAGTTTAACAGACACTATGTGTTCAGAAGCAGCATGCTAAGATTTCAAAGCCTCCTCTAGTCCGACATCTATTTATAGCTGCCCAGCCTCTCCACAATTTCTCACAGCCTCTCCTCTCAAAGCCAAGTCAGGGAAGTTTAATAGATATAATCCTGGGCCTTGTGCCGCAAGATGGTTAGAGGATCTGCAACTCTCCTCGTGCAATCCCATGTGCAGTAAGACCAGGAGAAATGGCAAAAAGCATGGTTTAACATACACAGGACCATAATACATGGGATAAACCCTATTTCTCCGCTTTAGGAACAAACTCATTTTTCCTCTACCAGTATGCTGGTGGTAATGAACCACATCAGCATCACCGACTAAGCAAATGACACCTGCCTCCTCCCTTCTCACCACAGAGGAACAGCCTAAGACAACTGCCTTGAAAACCAAGACAGAAGCTATCCAAGTCAGCTTTGACCCCTCAACAGCAGCAATGTCATCCATGCACCTTCCCACTTACATTATAATGCTACAACTGTACATTAAACCTTTTCAAAGAAACTAGGAGGCTGCTGGCTTCTTTTCAGTGCAATTTTTGGTTAACGTGTGGTATCTACCACCCAGCCATGCATATGCACGTCTTTCTATAAGCACTGATCCAGACAGGCTCTATTTCACGAGCATCTCCAGCAGCAGCTCCAACATTGCAGAAAGGGTGCAGGTATTTCCGTGCATAGGGAGCACCATGCCACAGGCTGAACTCTGCCAACAAGCTTTGTACATCCTTGGTGCCTCTTTTACCACATACACCCGCTTGCCTGTAGTACTAGGACAGAGACCACGGAGATGACAGGACTACTGGAAACTCCTGCCCACGGGATTTCAACCACATTTTCTCCCCTTTCCCCAGTCAGTGGGAGTCGGAAGGGGAGGGATGACTTCCTCGGGAGGAAAATAAGCAAGGAGAGGCCGGGGCAGAGATCAAGAGAGGAGGAATTACCCCAAAGGGAGAGCAGATAATCCCTGAGAGGCGAGGCTGCAGAGGGGCATAACAGGAGATGGAGGGACAGGAACAGCGAACTGGGGGGGGGGATAATCCATGAGAGAAGGGGGGGAGATAATCCCCTTGGAAGAGGGGGGGGGGGAGGCGGAGAATCCCGGAGAGGGAGGGGCGGGAAACCTGATAATCTCCAGGAGAGAAAATACCGGGAAGGGGGTGGGGGAAGGAGGGTGGGCGGGTAGATAATCCGGAGCGGCAGATGAGGAGCTAGTCTCACGGGGACGCATCCGGAGGCGGGAGGAGGAGGGTTAATCCTCACTCTGGGGGCAAAAAAACCCTCTTCCCCGACTCCGGCGCTGCCATGTTCGCTCCCCTGCAGGCCCGCCCGGCACCGGTACCTGCATGCAGCCGGGCAGGAGGGCGGCTCTTCCCCCTCACGCCACACGCACGCGGGGAGCCTCAGCTCCTGCCCCGGGGCAAGGGACCGCTGCGGGACCCCGCCTCCCACCTCCATTTCCCCCCCCGGCTGGAGGAGAAGAAGAAGAGGGAGAGAGAAGCGGGCGGATGAACCCTCCCCCCCGGCACACGCGACCAACTCACCGGCTGGCACCGGCTCCCGCTGCCCGCCCGCCCGTCCGCCCGTGCCCTCCTCAGCGGCCGCCGCTCAGCCCCATCTGCGAGCCGCCGGTTGGCGGAAGGGAGAAGCGCGAGCCAGAAGCGCCCCCGGCTCCGCTCCCGCCGGTCTGCGCCCGCCTCGGCGCGCGCCGCCGGCGTGGCTGTAGCACGCGCTCCTGCTCCTCCTCCCTCTCCTCCTCCTCCTCCTCCTACCGGCGCGCGCGCCCGCGCGGGAGGGGGAATGCGCGCGAGCACCGCCTCCCGCCGCAAACGGCGGGGCGCCTGAGGGGGCGCGCGCGGCCCCCGCACGTCCAGTCCGGTCCCTCCCGCGGCGTGTGTGTGTGTGTGTGTGTGTGCGGAGCGGGGCTGTGAGGGAGCGCGGGAGGGAGCACCTACGTGTGTGGATGTGAGTGCGTGTGAGGGAGCGCCGAAGGTGCTGGCGTGCCCGGCAGCGAGCCGCGATGTGGGAGCAGGGCGCCCGGTCGTTTGCGTGGAACGAGTGTATGCGAGGGCAGCCACGCTGGGGATGGATGGATGGAGAGCGCTGTGGTGTGAGAGGGAGAGCGTGTGGTAGCGGGAGAGTGTCCCCAGGCTGCGGGCCGCACGCGATCCCTGACTGGGTTGAGTGTCCGGGCGGGTGTGGGCGCTCCTCAGTCGGAGCCGTTTCACTTGGCGCTGCGTGATCAGGCACCAAAGCGTGAGGAACGCTGGCAAAGGATAAGTCAAATATTTCAAAGGGGAAGAGGGATGGAAAATTTCCCTTGGTACTAATAACACACAAGACCACTCAGGTGGAAACAACATCAAAAAAACTGATATTCCTGCGCTTCTGGTTGCTGTTTAAACATTCCATTTGTTTTGAGCAGTGACAATAAACTAGCTTTCTGTGTTTGCTTCTGGTTCATTTTGTGGAGACGCTCACCTTTGGATACTCTTGGACTTAACTGAAATTTAAGTTGCAAACAGCAAGTCAGCCATGCCTGCACAATTCTCGCTAAAGCTGGATTAAAATCTGCCCTGGAAAACGGAATGTTCATATCCAAAGCAATACTTCATTCCTCAGCTTGTTTTCATTGACTTTTTCCTTCTCTTACAGACTTCTCAAATGTTTAAATCCAAGTGTACACTTCAGTAGTAATCCATTTAATTATGCTGTTTTAAGAATACATGATAGCCTGCTGTGACATGTGGTATCCCCTAATAATAATCTGCCTCCAATTCTCCCTCGTTGTTTTTGGGAGCCACTGGGGAGGGAGAGAACGCCAAAATTATGTGGGGGTGGAGTCTGAACAGAAAAATCCACTAGGTATTGATTTTTATTCTAACAGGTTCAGATTGTGCTTTCTACCAAGTAACAAATAAGCTGATTTTCATGCGACCCAAGATACCAAAAAGAAGCGGCGCATATATGATGGGCATAATTAAAGAAATGGTGGAACAGCAGCCAGCAGGTGAGAAATCCTTCCTCAGATTGACCAATAGAGATGCATTGAGTAATAAGATCTTGCTCCCCTCATCTTAGGAAACCAGCATGCAAAATTCCTTTAGGAATTATTTTTACTCACTCTTGAAATTACAGTGGCTACCCTGTGCTGAAAGCTTCATGAGCACTTGGAGTTATGCACCCCTGCGTCCAAATAGCTTACAGCCCTCCTGGGATTTCTCAGTAAAAAAGTCCAAATTGAGCCTAATTTGCTTCACAAGAAGTTACCTTTTCCTTATTAAACTGAAAATAAACTGCATGCATCATAAGGGGTTCAAAGCTAAGTAATGACTTACCACCCTTTCAGTGTTCAAACCCCTGCAGCTACAATGGAAAAACTGACAGGCACAGAAAATCCTCATTCCCTGAAAAATCCCTCCAGATCTTTCTCTCTCCTTTGCCCCCTGTTTATTTTTTGTGATGTCCTAATGGAAAACCTTTTGAACCAGAGCCACAAAACACATAACTGTCAGCTTGTCCTGTATTTCACAACTCAACAGCTTGTTGACTTCTTCCCTAACAGTCCTGTGTTTGAGGAGGCTGAACATTATTCTATTAAGGATAAAGTGCTGCAGCAATTTATGCTGGCATCTTTCATGCTGTCCTGACTTTACCTTCGTGGTCAATGAAAGAAAATTGCTCCATGGCAAAACTTAGAGGTTCCTTATTATAGTTCACCTCAAAGCTTGAATCCAAACCTGTGAAACACAAGAACCTGTTTGCAGCTGTAACAGAAATACCTAAACACAAAATACTTCAACTGCTCCACAGCCTTTTGAGCGTCTTCCATTCTGGCCTCTGCAGCTGCTATTTGGCTATTAAAGCCCTTTAGGGAATGTATCCCAAATGTTCACAAACCATTTTTGCCCACTACTTAATCCATTTGACCCATTAGGGTCAAGGAAGAAACAGAGATGTATCGTTTTAGAAAAGAATTTAGAAATTGATGTTTACCCTCTGGCAGGAATTATCATACCCTTTTGGCTTTTTACTACTTGCATTCACATTTATCCAAGGATGGTCATTAGGACCTTGATGGCGCAGTTCAATCTGATAGCTTTGCATCATTCCTGCAGTGCAAACCACTGTAAATCACTCTTATCCATTTAATGGCAATTACTGCACTTCAGCCAAGCCTCACCCTGTTCCCAGTTTAAGTCAGAGAAGCCCTGGCCAGGGCTAACTTACGCCCCAGCAGTTTCTGGCTGGTGACCATGGTCAGCCAGGCGTGAATTAGAACAGTGCCAAAGCCAAGTTGCTTTATGCCAGGGATTATCAAAAGCCGCAGGATACAGGGAGCATAGAGACTGTATGGTAGGTCAGCCACAGCCCTCATACTTTTGGGCTGATGATTAGCATTCAGTTGAACTGGAGTTTATGACTCCACAGAGCTTTGAACTCTGCCTTTGATGATACAGCTCTCACTTAAGCAAAGGGTTTCTTTTGCTGTGCTCGTCTCTGTAAAACTTCAGAGGCTAGGGTTGCTAATATTGAGATAAGTTCTCTGCTGGTGCTACAAGTAACATGGTAGAGGTCTTTCTCCAGGGTCTTTTGGTTTTGCTACAGCTCTTACCCTGATGTAGAGGGGTTAGAGGAGCAGACCCCAGTATACAAAACATGGGAAGGAGTATGATGTGGTTTTCAGCCCCGTTACAGTTCTGAGCATGCAAATGGAAAACAAAACCTGTAATAATCACCAGCATTGTTGCATTCACTTATTTCTGGAGAAATTATCTACTGGCTGGTGTCAGCTATGCCAAATTTTTGTTTTATGCTCTACAGAATTCTGGGTCTGAATTCTGAATTTTCTGTCACTGTTCTGATGACTATTTGAATGATAAAATGAACAGATGTCCCCATAGAAAAGTTTCTATTTAATTGTTGTGGGGAACTGAGATTGAGCACTTAAAGTGAAAGACTTTAAAACTACATTTTTTTAAATGAAGTTTTAAGCTGATTACTGGCATGCTCTGCAAGACCAGCATTCTGTGTTCTTAAGTTTATTGATGTCTAACTTGGATAATCAGTTGTTATGATCAGTCTTCAGGCAGCCGGAACTCTGCACTACTACTCTATTTGATAACCCCTAAAATATGCTGCCTTCATCACCTCATAAATTACATTCAATAGATTATCAGCTTCTTTACTGTGCTTATCACCATTTGGGAATCTTGTGATGGTAACTTGTTTATGTATCCACTAGCATACCATCCAAGATCATCATCTTCAAAACAGTGAGGGTTTCTGTGGAGTTATTTGTGACAAAGAAATGAGATAGGGCTTTGGGTTGGGGTTTCTTTGGTATAAAGTATGCTTTCATATTTGTACACAAAATGTCATTTAAGATTTTCAAAAAGATCTAGCAAAGATAGCAAAATCTGTAAGAAATTTCATGATTTTCCAAATTATCCCAGAAGAGTTCATTAAAAGATCACATGGATGATAACAAATATCGAAGGTCAATTAAAAACAGTTTTTTGGGGCAGGACATCTGTGCATGATCAAAACCACAGTAATTGGGAGAATGTTGATTTACAAGTAGAGGCAATATGAAAGAGTGAAAGGATACAGTACCTACAGAGTTAAAAGGTTCTGTATGTCTAATTCCTATGCTATTTTCATCACTGAGGTCTGTTTGCATGTGGAATTCAACTCCACAGGAGGAGATAATCAAGACAAATAGTATGGCTTTATTTTTAAAAGGGGTGGATAATTTCATGGCAGCTTACAACATTGGTAACTGGGCAAGCTAAGATAATAAGGCTAATCAAATCTCATGCTTCACAGCACTAGTTCCCTGCGGGGTCAGGAAAAATCCACCGTATACAACACTATACAATTAGCAAGGTTATTATTATTGGGGAGCAGTAGTACAGCCTTCTAAAGCAATGAGCTTTTACCATTATCAGAGAACAGAAACCGTACTTGACCAGATAGACGAAAGAGTATTATTTTCTTATGCCGCTTCTGATCCTCTTCTCTGCCAGAGTTTTAGAATTACAATACTTGGGGTTGTTTAAAAAAAACCCAACAACCTCCTGAACATGATTAGCCAAGTGCATTACTGTCTGAAATCTATCAAAAACTCTTACACCTGTGAATGGCAACCTAGCTCAAAATAGCTGCCAGTGACTGGATGCAGGAATGGTATTGATTAAGCTGCTGCAGATTGCAAGTGCACATTGCGCTTTGGTTAGGTCAGTAATGCTACAGAATGTGCTTCTCAGTAGTGTTTAGGCAGAAAGACATAGTCCCAGCTGATGATCAGCTCTTAGCTAGGAGCTGAAATGGTATGTGTTTGGAATATTTAGTTTGGGAAGTACTATTCATTTTCTTTAATTGCCTGAACATATTGTTGTAGGTGTTCTGTGTGTATACTTGCATTTTATTTTCCATCAATGTATGCATCAGAGAAATGATATTAGCTCAAATTGAAAATATTTAGCTACATTTTTCTGCAAAATTCATGTTTGTATGTGAATGTGATACTCTTTATGAGTTGGTGGGTTTTTTCCTTACGAGGCAGAGTAAGCACAAAAGCAGAACGATATCCTTTGAAAACCTATATTGTGAAAAGAACTCTCT